TCACCGCAGAGCTCGCCCTCGTCGGAGCCGTCGCCGCAGTCGTCGGAGCCGTCGCAGAGCTTCTCGGGGGGCAGGCAGATGGAGGTGTTGTTGGCACAGGTGTGGGAGGGGGGTTTGCACACCAGGGACTCGCAGTTCTCCTCATCTGAGTTGTCCTCACAGTCACTGTCACCGTCACAGACCCAGGCCTTGCTGATGCACCGGGCTGAAAGGGAGAGAGTGGGAAGGGAGCAGAGCAGAACCAGTTATTCCAGGCAGACAAGCAAGTCAGTCAGCCCAGGGATGGACAGACAGATTGGTCAGTCCAGGGACAGACAGACAGGTCAGTGAGCCCAGGGAGGGACAGACAGACAGGTCAGTGAGCCCAGGAATGGATGGACAGATTGGTCAGTCCAGGGACAGCCAGCCAGACAGACAAGTCAGTGAGCCCAGGGATGGACAGACAGATTGGTCAGTCCAGGGAGGAACAGGCAGACAGACAGACAAGTCAGTGAGCCCAGGGAGGAACAGGCAGACAGGTCAGTCAGCCCAGGGATGGACAGACAGGTCAGTCAGTCCAAGGACGGACAGACACATTGGTGAGTCAATTCTGGGATAGACAGATAGACAGACAGACAGACAGAGTGGTCAGTCAGTCCGGGACAGATAAACAGAAAGGTCAGTGAGCCCAGAGACAGACAGACAGGTCATTCAGCCCAGGGAGAGATAGATGGACAGACAGACTGGTCAGTGCAGGGACAGACAGACAGGTCAGTGAGCCCACGGATGGATGGACAGATTGGTCAGCCCAGGGATGGACAGATGGACGGACAGACAGGTTAGACAGACCAGGGAGGGACATGAGGGTGTTTGAGTGGCTCAGGGCTCCCCAAAAGTTGGATAGGACAGGTCAGGGAGGGCCTGGGGGCTCAGAAGGTCATCCCCTGAACTGGTGTCCCTCCTCCTTTGTCCCCAGCCCACCAAAGTGTGTCCCATTCCTGAGAAGAGCAGAAAGGATCTGAAGACAACACCATCCATCAGGATCACGATTCACAGGTTGGCTGTTTGTGTTTCCCCCTTATCCCAGCACCCCCACCTGGGATCCCCTTGCCCCCCTGCTCTCACCTGAATCCTTGCAGCCGAATTTGACGTTGGGGTCGCAGACGTGCGTGACCCCCTCGCAGTTCTTCTCGTCGCTGGAGTCCATGCAGTCCGTGTCACCGTCACAGCGCCACCGCATGGGGATGCACAGCCCGTCCAGCCGGCACTGGAACTCGTCCGTGTGGCAGCCCCCGGG